GCAGCCAAGGTCGTGTCAGGCGCTGGGGCCGAGATGCTCAGATGCTAATGAAGCCGTTATCATCTTCCGATCGATCGGGACTGTATAAATAATGCACCGGGAGGCTCGTTGTGCAGGGAAAGGGATTGCCTGGGGCTAAGGGGTGCCTGGGATGGGATGGAACCATTGCAGGGCAGAACTCAGCACAGCTGGATCACTTCCGCCCACCACAGCTGGACAGGCATCTCTCACCACAGCTGGATCACAGCTGGTGTCCATCACAGCTGGTGTCCATCACAGCTGGATACCCCCAGTGTCCACCACAGCTGGAAAACTGCTGCCCACCACAGGTGGACAGAAATCTCTCATCACAGCTGGACACCCCTGTGTCCATCACAGCTGGACATACACCTTTCACCACAGCTGGATGTCCACTGCCCACCACAGCTGGACATACACCTCTCACCGCAGCTGGACCTCCCAGTGCCCACCACAGCTGGATAACAACTGCCCACCACAGCTGCACAGCCACACCTGTGTGCCCCGCTGCCCATCCCCAGCCATTCCCCAAATCCCAAGGCACTTTTGGGGGATGCTGCCCACATGCCCAGCGCAGGTACAGGTGCTCCGGATGCCCGTCCCTGGCAGACCCTTTGGAGAAGGAGGGGTGAAATCCGCACTGGAGGCTGGCTGGGCTCTGGCAGCCTGAGTCACCGCGCAGCGCTGTCCCCTGGGGCTGCAGGAAGCAGCTTAAATGCAGCTTTCAAGAGGCAGCAGGGACTCCACTGTGATGCTTTTATTTTTACAAAAAGGAAACTTTTCAGTCCCTCGGGATGGCGCGGGGCTGAGCCTGTGGGCTGCCAGGGCAGGCGGGGACAGGGGACACGGGTGNCTCACCCGTCTGTGTCCTGGAAGTTGACATTGACTCTCTTTGCTGATCCGAGGAGCTCTGGAAGGGAGGGAAGGGGACAGGGTGTTAGAGGACGAGGCTGGCACAGGGACAGGGGCACACCAGGGAGGGGATGTGCTGGCAGCTCCAGGTTTCCCTGCCTACCAAGGCTGGCGCTCCCTGCAGCTCCACAGGTGCTGAGTGAGGCTGCCCAAACCTGCAGGCTCGGGGTGGGGGTCCCTGCTGAAGGGGGCAGAGCCCGGGGGTCCTCCTGGCACCATTCTGGTTCTGCCCATTCTCCCCTGGTTTGCTTGGGCAATGTTCCCCTGTCTCGTTCACCCATCTGGGGCTCTGGAACGGCCCCTGCAGCCCCCCCTGGGCAGAGCTCAGCACATCCCCCTGTACCCCAGCCCCCCTGCACTGCCCTCCCCACCCTTCTGGGAAATGAAACCGCGCCGGGGCAATCCAATTAGCAGCACGAGGAAGGATGGAGCCAGATTTACATAAGATTTACCCGAAAAATGCCACTCAGGCTTTCCAGCGAGCTGCTCTTCCCACAGCGGGAGCAGCAGGAGGAAGAGGAGGGTGGGAGCAGCACGGCAGAGCCCCACAGGAGACCCACACAGTGAGCAGAGCTCCAGCCCCACAAGGGACCCACACTGCAGCCCCTGAGCCCAGCACAGCGAGCTCAGCTCCAGCCCTGAGCCCATGGGACAGGACCCAAAGGCTGCATGGCCCAGCAGGGAGAATGGGCAAAGGCACTGGAAGCCAGGGACGAGCTCTTGCTGGGAGAAGCTGTCTGGAAGGGGCTGCTTCAGGCAGGGAAAGGGAATGTGGGGCCAGAGAGACACTCCCTGTGTGTGCCTTGGCCGTGGCCTTGCTCTCTCCCCCTCTGCCGTGTCCCCTTGTCAGTGTCCCTGTGGTCATTGATTATTGGACACAAGGCTGTGCCACAGCCCAGGAGCCTCTGCATGGGCACACAGGGCTCAGAGGGCACCAGCAGCAGGAGGGGTGGCTGTGTCCAGCCCTGACCTCAAACCTGGGGAGTGGTGCCAGGCTGAGCAGCCCTGCCCAGGCCACACAGCACGGATGGGCCCAGGACAGAGCTGCCCCCTGCACTCCAGGGCTGCCCGGCTGCCCGAGCTGCAGGACATTTGCTGATGCTGACACAGCCCCGTGTGACAGGTGACAGCTGCAGAGGGCAGGTTCTACCAGCCACAGCAACCACCCTCCAGCCACCAGGTGTCCAGGGTCCCCTCCCAGATGAGGTGCCTCATGCAGGATGAGAAGGGGCACTGCAGGGTGCCTGGAGAGGGACAGGGACACCTTGGGGTCCCCAGGCTGTGGGGAGGGACAGGAATGCTACAGAAACCCCCAGGCCCCATCCCTGCCACAGCATCCCCGTGCTCCCTGGGAAGAGCTGCACATTGGTGGTGGGCAGAACCCCTGTGGCACCGGCACTGCCCCGGTCCCTGGCACAGCCCCTGTGGCACCAGCACTGCCCCGGTCCCTGGCACAGCCCCTGTGGCACCAGCACTGACCAGTCCCTGGCACAGCCCCTGT